ATTATTTTTATACATTATATTGTAGTTTTTAAGTTTCTATATTACGAGTAGAGTTAGAATTTTTATTTTATTCGTTGTGTGTCCGTCGCAACTTTGTTATCATCGTTACTATACCTTCATTGTTGATTTTTAAAAAATATTATTTTGTGATAACTTTTGGATAGACTTGTCTATCGTAAACACGTCGCTAATGTTTCTCTGTTTTATCGAAAAAAAATGAGTTTAATGTAGTTAATAATACCATTTTATAAACGTAACATATGCCCAGTACGCAGGAATACAGAAACCTGATATACTTGTCACGTGATCATTTTGATGTATTTAATATTTTAGTGATGTCAATGTACTAGTAGACGATCACATTTAATTTGATATTAAGCAATCTGACAGTGATTTTCAGTTATGTTTCAAATTGATTTGATCATAACACAAGTCAAAAATGTTAATTATGCTCGTTTAGTGTGATTGTTTATAATTATATATTATTATCGTATAGAAAACATTAAATATTGGTAGGTATTTAATTTAAAAGTTCATTAAGTATTATCATTTCTAAAACTATTTCCGAGGATGACCATTTATTTCGTATACGAATCAATTAATCTATTAACCATGAGATATACAATAGATTATTTTTAATACTCGATTAAAAAAAAAAAAAAAAACGTAAAATAAACGAAAACGATACATTGAATCACTTTATCACTTATCTTTTCAATAAATTTAAAAGAAATGATAAATTATTGCAAGGAAAAAAAACACTCTATGAAGCACTGTTTTATACATAGATTCATATCGTTTTTAAAATTTGAAGTGCTCATAAAAAGAATTATTAAATTAGTATAATTTTATAGAGATTCAAATAAAATGTATAAAATCAGAGTATAGTTAGCCTTAATAATGCAATCGTATATGGATTATTCTAAGTCTTTAAAACTAAAACTATAATTTGTTTGAAAAGAAATACGAGTGTATAATGTTTTCGTCAAATCGTGAAAGTACGAATATTCTTCCACGACGTATACTTTAAATATGATTGAAAAAATGTAGAAATCTATTTTAAAGAACATTTTATAACTTTGAATATTTTATCTCGTTACGGTATAAATCTAATAGTAATAAATACTGACAAAGTATATATAATAGATGGAACCAGTATACTTATATATATTTCTATATAATATATAAACACTGTACTTTTCTTTTAAACTTTTTCTATTGCAAGAAGAACGGGGAAAGTCTGAAATTGATTTTAAAGGTACAACAATACAAAAAATTGTGTTATTTTAATTTATTTAACCAAAAACTATAAGCTGTAATAGTTCTGTTTATTTTTTGGGATTCCTTTTGTTGACGATTAAACGGCGAATATACGATTATATAGGCGTTTCTCTCTTTACAACAACGGACACAGAATAACAGAATTCGATGAACGACTTATCACTTGAAAATTTACATACTTCATATTGATTCCCTTTATTTTTATTAACATATTTTTTTTTTTTTGTATCAAAATATTGTTTCAACAATTTAGGGTCGTAATTATTTGAGATATTTTTTTTTTTAAACTATTAACTGGATATTTATTTTAGTACTATAATATGTATATAAGTTATCAACTATTTTTGATTCACATATAACTGTATTCAAAATATTTTAACTGATATTGGGTTTTTAGCTTAGTATAATATTTAAAGTTTTAATTCCTATTTTAGGTATTGAAAGCAAATTTTTTTAAATTTTTTATCTAATTTTTATTTTCATTGACACCTAAATTGATTGATTTTATAAATTTTACTTTTTATTTTAAATTTAAAATTTACATAATTACACATTTTCAGTTTAATGATCTGAAAATGGAATATACTTAGATAAATATGTTGTAATTTCAATCACGATTGTATGTAGTTATTGTACCCATTTTACAATAGGTATTTAATATTAATTTGTTCGTAATTGATTTAATAAAATGTGTAATTTTAGATTTTAGGGTAGTGCAGCAATTAAGTATGATTAATTATCTTAGATAACTTTATCGTTGAGCGTTGTTGTTATTTAATAATAAATCAATACATTATATCATTATAATACTACATATTATTAAGTCTTCCTTTGCCTTTCCTTTGCCATATCAAATATTTGGTTATTTTATAATCAAATTTGCTTGATTGACTACAGAAACTGAATTATTAAGATCAGTTATCTTTGAAAATTGATGTGAACTCAAATACGTGTAATTTAAATTTAATTTAATAAACTATTAGCATTGTTTTTAAGTAACCTAATGCCAACTCTTGAAATTCGATGTACGTATAGTAGAAATCATATTTAATTTCATGTATATTTTTTGCTTCGGTTCTCTAAATAGTTTTTGTATTATTTATTATGACTTGTTATTATTAAAAATTATGACTATTTTTGAAGTAAATTTTTTTTGTCATTTTATGTACAAAAAAATACATTAACAATTTAATAATCACAAACTGTTATAAAAGTGTATAATAATACATTCAATGTTATGTTTTATAATACGGTGTATTACATTACTGCCATTATTGTACAATTATATTTGTCATCTAGCTGTAAATAATATCAAAATAAAAAATAATGGGTTGGTACTCAACTTTGTCATAGTTAATTATATTAAGATCATCACCCACAGAAAATAAATTTAATAATAAATATTATAATAAAAAAAAATACTTTCATTTTTTGTGTATATACTATTTTTATTTTGTGGTTTTACTATTCGTACTTTGTACTCGTGTCTCAAGCGATATTACTACTTACGTATGAAATTGTTAAGTTAAATATAATACTATCTGCGACGAATGAAAAGGGTCAATTGATGTTAAATCAATTCAAACGTAAAAAAAAATTGTTGTAGAATAAAATATTTATCATTATTTATTATTATACATATACACTTATATTCACATATGACTTAGTTCAATTAAGTTTGTAAAAATGTCAATAAAATTGGTAATATTTGACGTTATTAATACTTCTTTAAAGTATGCCACTGTATACAGAAACATTAGACTAGTATTGGCATTGGTCACTTGTTTTTCTTTGTCCACCTTAATGCAAGTTAGTATTGTACTATTACTTTAAACACAAAAACAATATGATAAGTAACAGCCGTTTGCAAGTAGGAAAACGAGTGGGATGGAATTTGTTTTACTTTTTACAATTACGTTTGTCGGACGTCTATGAAATGCATATGGTAGTAGAGTATAATATTGCTATTCAATAGATAAAAATAATTGTGTGAATGTTATACGAAAAAAATAAATGATAGTCTCGAAGAATAAACTATTAATATTTAAATATTTAATCGTTCATTTTTTGATTTTTGTTACAGTACGACATATTAGTTTCGAATTCAATTTGCAGGTTTAATTGCAAATAAAAATAAATATAAAAAAAATATTAACCAGGTAAAACTAACTAAAACTAACTGATGTAAAATAAGATGAAAACAATTTTTTTTTTCTATACAGTTTATTAATAAAATTAATTCTCAAGGTTATCACGGAAGTGTATATATATATAAAGACAATTTGTCGTAATTATTTTTTTCGTTACTTTCGTTACAACGTTCTGCAATATGTTCTCGAACTATCGAGAATTCTTAAAATACATAAACCTCTTAATACATTTCAACGTTTCTGGATACAACTTTTGAAGTACCTATCCAATTCTTCGGTCTTAAAAATGTTAATCTTCATCGCGCGCTAATAGCTTTCCGAGTACGTTTTAGAATTTTGAATAAGTAGATATATACAAAAGATAAACGCCATTAAAAACATATCTTTGATGTCATATAATTTAATATCCATATAGTTCAGTTATCACGGCGGTTTCGTACCAAAAATCGTAATTGGATTACGTGTGTGTGCGTCATTTATTGATTTCCGATTTATCAATTACGAATGACGTATTCACGTGTACGTACAATCGATTAAAACATAAATAATTTAAGCAGTTTTTGTTGCCTATTGCCAATAAACAAGGGATGTTATCAAATGTTTTCCCGTTCGTACATTTTAAAGCACCAACATTAATTTATCTCCGAATTATTACGACGGTACATTATAATAATTATTAATCGTATTATGTTTATAAATCACGAAACCTAAGAAGAGTTCGTGCTCGTTTAGCACTATGTTTTGTCATAACTATAGGTACCTACGAATTTATACATTTCGCAAACGATTTCATGTTTATCAACACATGGCAACACATTGCGATACACCACGAAAACCCGTTGATTTATTAACGCGATTTCTAATAATTTTGTCAATTTCAACAGCACGTATTGTACGACTGTACGGTATAGGTTATTTACGCTGAGACCATTTACACAACTTACTGTTTCTTTGCCGGATATATACATCGTATGCATATAATTATTATGTTGTTGACCTAAGACGTTTATCACCGATGCGTTTGATTTCTGAAAAGTCTAAAAATCGATAAAAATAAACTATAGTCGGTAACTTTTTTAAATTAATTTTTATTCTACAAATAACATACAAATAATGATTAAACTTATAAATTGTACAATTAAATAATAATAATAATAATAATATATAGGTATAAGTAGATAATAATGTTCTCTACAAATTAATTAATTAGCTCAAATTATAGTCGTTATGTAGGCATATACATAACGTGAAGAACTTAAAATAATAGGTTCATCATTATTTACTTATTTTTAAGTGTTTAATGAAAATAAAAACTTAACGAAATCCAATAGCAATCGAAGTGAGGTAAAGAATACACACGTACTTTGAAGTCTTGCTTAATGTTTATATAGAAATAAAGTGAACTGTACATAAGTTCAACAAACTTATAAGTATAATTTGTTTTACTATAATAGTACAATTAAAAGCAACGAAAAAAAAAATATACATGGTTCAGTCAACCTAAGTGTCCCGTGCGTTTATGAATATTATAGAATATTACAATTAAACTTAACAAACTAGTTAAAATAAAACAAGTTAAATATCTTTTCGAGATCAAAATAAATAATTTTAAGAAAAGAAAATAAAGTGGCAACCATAACGGTTATTACCGTCAGACATATCCTGTGTCGCATATCCCTGTAAATTCGACATAGTCCTAAACTATGTTCTCATATTTATCTTTATCTCTTTACATACAAATTAATAATCGGCTGTGTGAAAACTATGGTTTTGAGGCACCCCGAATTTTGAGTAAACATAATAGTATATAATAATAATGATAATAATAATAATAATAATAATAATATTAATAATAATTTATAATAATACACGAAAGTGTATTCGTTTCAAACCGTACACGGATCAATGTAATGCAAATAATGTACGTAAACACACACACACACACACACTCGGGCACACAAATACTTATATTATACATAATTTTAAACATTTAAACTAAACGTATATAATATATTCATACACGTGTATATGTATAACGTTTTTTTTTTTTTTTTTTCGTGACTAGAATGTACATACAAATACATGTGTACACGGACATATACATTTAATTAAATAAATATATAATAAACGAACGGGGTTTAGCGCGTTAAAAAATGTCGTACGAAGACAATGCGTATTATTATTATTATTATTATTATTGTACAACATGTAACGCGGTGGGTTTGACGCGGACGCCGAGAATTAGGATTTCAACTATGCTCACTTACGGACCGTTACGACGACGGTACTCGTATAACTGATAATGTGACGTAAACGGGTGGTGACTGACGAACAGGTGGCGACGGGTCGGCGGATCCGGGTCCGTAAGGATCGGGGTGGCTCGAGCGGTGTCGAAGGGCCCGCGGGGTTGGTGGATTAGGGGGGGATGGCCGCGTGTACGACTACGCGTCGTCGTTGAGACGGGATGACGGTGACGTCCGGATGGTTCAGACCAAATGTCCCTCCGTCTCGTCGGGCTTGTGCGCGAACGTGGTGAGAAAGTTTTGCGATGAGAACACGGTGACGTCCGGCGGCGGTGGCGGCGATGACGGCGAATAAAAGTTGCACTTGACCATCGGTGGCGGCACGGCCGGCGGCGGGCGGTTGCGCAACACGGGCGGCAGCGGCACGGCCCGACTGGTCATCTGCAGGCCCGACGGAGGCTGCTGGTGGAACATTCGGTTATCTGCAACACAATCGAAAAACGCGACACTTAGGCGAATGTGTTTGTCATTTCGTTTTTCGTATTCGTTTTTTTTTTTTATGTTTTCTTCCCTTACTCTCGTGCACTTCTCTTGCCGGCGGCGGATGGGTCGGCATATCCGAGTACTGCTGTACTGCGGGACCCGGGATCAGACAGAAAAGGTTCTTTTTTTTTTTTTCCATACGTATTTCCATACTTTCCTGGGACTATTGCTCGCCCGAAACGAAATCGCACATTTATAGGACGCAGTTTATTGCCTTACGCTTTTTACGTGTTTTACGATTTCTTAAACAAGTCTTACGGGTAACAATGGAATTACACGGGAAAACAAAATTATTAATTGCAGTCGAAAATGTTATTCGAAAATAGCCCTTTTGTAATATTTGGAGAACAGCCCTCCTCGACATGGATACTCACAGTTTTACAGGTAATAACAATTAGCTACGGTATGAAAATGAACATTTGTTTTTATAAACGTGTTATTAAAAACGATTGACTGTCGTATCCGTTGACCTCGCGTTATGAATTTGTTCAAAACGTGCTATGACGAGATTACTTTTATAAACCATATTACATCTAGACGGTTGAGATATTTTAATAACTATGATACTAGAATTTAGAAATAACTTAATTCGCTTGTTTTTTAATTTATCATTACAGTTAATATGCGTCTAGTGTGTAATGAATAGTGTTTAAAACAGTTTTCTAGGACATGCACAATTTAATCATTTTTCGGGCATTATAGGTTAGTTGCTAGTTACCCGCTTAGTTGAGGGATAAATGCGCTAACTGAAATTGGTTCACGTGTTATGTATTGCAGTAAGAATAATTATTAAACTATCGAATTTATAATATGTGTTCAAAAATATAAACTTTGAAAATGCATCGAGTTTTGTAATAGAAATTCGAAATTTCTTGTAATTTGCTCAACTACGAGGGTTTAATTTGTTTTTAAATTTACCGATATTTCTCCTGTCGTTTGTGTTCTCTTGAATGTAATGTTGTTGCGGCACAGAGTGATCGGAGCTCAAACTCATGCCACCGCCGTACTGAACGTGTTGCTGCAAAGGATGATCGCACTCGTTGATGAAAGGATAATCGATCTGTTCAATTAAGTATGATTGTTCGGCTGACTTTGGTTGTTGATCGTCCTAAAAAATAAATAACAATGATTCATTGGATTCGACTTTTCTTATAGTTTTCGTCTCTTCCAATTTATCAATTAATATATATGTGTACCAATTCTACTTAATGATTTTCGAGCCATTCCGAGGAAATTTTCGATTATAGTATTGCATAGTGATCATTATAAAATACTCACGTTGTAATCCGGAGAAACGTTAGAATAGGTTTCTGATTTAGCTGAAATTGAGCTTAAGTTTTCCTCGTATCCACCGTTATAAGTATTTGGTGCGTACATTTCAATCGTTGGCGTCTTGCTGCTAGAGTCGTTGTTGTCTGTGAAATAACGAAAATCTAATTAAATCTATGTTAGCATTGATGAAGTCTTGGAATTCTTGAAATATTGATGTGAATTTTTTTTTACAAATATGGTACAGACCATTTAAATTGTTTACGGGACAAAAATTAAAACATTTGAAAGAAAACAATAATTAATGATTTTTTATGTACAATGTTAAAATATACGTACCATTATTCATTTGTTTGGTAACATTGCGTCGTCTGTGTATACAATAGGTCACCAAAAATATGCTCACGAGAATCGATATCCCGACAATAAGTCCCAAGAAAATAAATACAATGTGCGTTCCTTCGGCTACTGTAGCGGACTTTTCTGAATTTGAATTGGACTTGTGATGCAAATTTTCTTCTAAATAGTAAATTTCGAATCGCTACGATTAGTACGATTTATAAATGACATTTTGTGATTATTATGATATAATAATAGTATTACAACCACAAACTATAATGAACACATGGTTTAATCGTATGACGTTTTCGCGTTATTTATACCGACCATTATTGGTATTTGGTATGGGATCACAAAAAATATTGATTACTAAAAGCAACAAATTCCGAAAAAAGCGTTGGGCACTGCACTCGATAGTAGACATACGCCCCTCGTATTCGGTCTTGAGATTGATTTTATATAAAATTTACTACATCGAAACAAATATATTAAAATAATAGAGATAAGTAACCTTTTAAAAACAACCCAACAAATAACCTACACATCCCCCAAAAAGATTTTGATTCCATGGAATCGTTGGCAGAATGGGAGGATAACATAACATTGTATATTAATGTTATCCATTAAATATCGATTGCTGAGTACTTCCGACCGACGTAAAGAATGTATAGGTTGTGCAGAGATGTTTTTTTAGCATATTTTTCAAACAGAAGAAATTTTTTAAAAGTTCTACGTATTCAAATGGTAGCTCAAAATTATTTTCATTGTGTTTTTTAAATGTTTAAAATATAAATTTTGTAAAATATAGTCAAGTCACGTACGAAGACATTAGAAAGTGAATACATGCTAAACTCATTTGAAAAATCGTATAGATTGGATTTAACTTAAAATTTTTATTTAATTTATTATTTATACAGAAACCGAATGTGATTTTCAGTACATGATTATTCTAAGATTGATTAAAGAATTTTGAAATCTTAATCATATTTACGTTTATTTGAAAGTATCAAAATTTAAATAATGATGAATTTGTAAAGTGTTTTTGAAAATAATGAAAAAGAAAGACTAAAATACAAAAAGTATATTATTTTGACCAAGTCTTATCCGTGTTTTTGACAACTGAACGTTACAATAGATTTTGCCGATATGGCTGTTTCGTTCAAGAGAGATTGCTACCAAAAGCCTTTTAGACACGTCACAGTGACATAATAACCATTTGTGCCCATATGTAATGCGTATGATAAAATATCGTATTAAATACATAATTTATGTGTATATAAAATTGTTCCGTCTCACTCGCTGAATTTTCACTCGGTTATTTACATACGAATGCGATGTTATGCATACGTACTTTCCATGGTGACTTTAAGGCTCTGGGACATATACGAGCTATCGCCGTATCTGTTACGGGCCATGATGTTCAACAGGTACGTCGTGTCCGGACGGAGCCCGACGATTGTGTGCCGCGTTTCATTACCCACGTCATCGTACCGGTACGTTGGTTTGTCGACTGGTCGGTACCGAATGCGGTACGTGATCGGGTCACCTGCAGGACACAGACACAAGGATTATAAGTGCGTAATCGTTACGCGCGAACGTGATGTAATAAAATCAAGGTACAACAGAGAGCAGTTTTTTAATATTTTGTGACTCGCGGGGCCCCAGTAATGAATAAGTCTTTGAAGCGAACGGATGCCAAAGGTTGTGAGCAGAAAACAAATATTATTCCGATAATTCGTATTTTTCATGTATTACGTACTAATCACATCCATACATATTGTACGCGCGAACAACCAGGACGACAGTAATAAGGATCCTGACGCGAGTCACATATTTTCCTCTCGGGTCGCAAGCCACATGTTTAGAATTACTGGTTGTATGTATTATTATACAGTAGGTATGTAAGGTATTTGAATAATACCGGTGACGGCAAACGTAGGTGCATATAGCAACGCGAGTCTTGGGATATCACGTCGTTAAGGATAAGGGAAACAAAAACAATTCGTTTCGCAGCCCGTTCTTGTCGAATAACAAGTGTTCGACCGAAAGATACTGTTTAGGGACCGATTGTTGAAGTGAAATTTGTCGAAGATCAAGCCCGGTCGTTATTCCGTGTTACTGTGCAATCCGCGAGTTTTTCGAGTTCCTACGACCTAATCATGCTCTCGGCCACCATCGGTGTACGTCTATCGAAATAATCGTGAAAAAAAAAAACTAGTATTCAAGCCGAACGTACGTGAGATTATGGCCCACATACGCCGCAGAACGTTGTGTAGGTGTTATTGAATTTTTACCGATCGGGAGACATTTCGAACACCACCGACCCGTCGACGGACTCGCGCGTTACTCCTTTACCAACCCGAGTGCAACATGACGTGCATGTTCATTGACGCGCGCGCGGTCATCGCGTTTTCAAATTACCTCCGTCGAAGCCGGGTGACCACGACACCGTCAGCTCGTCGTGCGTGGCGTTTACCAGTTGGAAACTGAACGGCGGGTCCGGGTGCGAGAACACGGTCAACCGGTTCACCGAAGTCGTCCGCCCGAGATCGTTTGACGCGGTGCACTCGTAATCGCCGTAATTGTATTGGTCCACTTCACGTATGGTCAGCGTGGACTCGTAAAACGTTTCGTTCAGCTGCACGCAAAAACAAAAAAAAACGCACATACATACATAAGTCTAAGAAATGTACCCGCGGGTGACGTCGATGGGTCGAGCTGTGCATTGTGCGATTCGTATTGGCGCTCACACATCAGTGGCGTGATAAGGATTCAACATCGGTCGGTGAAACACGGACCGATATTTTCTCGATAGTACGATTTTTAGTTCCTTACTTCCCTTCTGTTTATGCGTAAACCTTGGCGAAGTTGGCGCCGGATTTATAATTTGTGTAGCCTATCGGTGATATTTTGATTCACATCGATTCATTATTGTAAACGATTTCAGTTGAGATTGCGGAAAAGAAAAAGGGTTAAAGGGTAACCCGACGGATTACGTGCCAACGATCCCTCACGCCAACGTTCACTAGTCATAATACGTAGGGCTTTCGTGAAAACAGTGAAATATATTCGTCTCCCACCCGCAGTCAGCATAATATTACGCGTACGATGATTATGATGCATGTTGCACAAAAATTCGTGATTTCTCTACGAGTCAATCTATGACACTTTAGGTAAAACAATGGTTTTTCTTCTATTCCAACATAATTGTTTTTGAGTAATCTCTCGGAAAAGATACGCCGGACATTTAAACGCTCAGTGCCCGTACGGTCAAAACAAAAGAAACAAACGACGAGTTGGTTTTCATTTATTATTCACTAGCTGGTTAAGATTTCGAATCCCAGCGAGAATAACCCCGTCGTTTGTTTGATTTCAACATTAGTGTTGTCCAGGAACGGACGCGAGGACAATGACAAATAGAAAATAATATGATGTCCGATCATTTGTTGTCAGCTGGTAGCATTTCTAACATGATTATATATTTTGTGGACGACAAATCTGAATTTGTAAACGACCTCCGAAATTATTACGCTTCGATTGTAAATGTATAAGTAGACACGAATATAATAGCTCGTATATATGTCCGACGATCTAATTGTATGCACGAAATAATAATAACAAAACTTATTGTATAAATTATTTACTTGTCTCTCTTCCACGATGTATTTTTCCGACACGCTTGTTATGTTCGACCCTTCACGCTTCCAAGAAAATCGAATCACCGGAGCGCCTGCTGCCCGACAATGTAGTTTAGCTTGCATACCTGCGTTGCCGGCAGTTTTCGATTCATTTCCCACTTTCAGTATCTCGGGTTTATCTGCAGCATATAGAATTGCAATCAAATTTTAGACAGTTTTTAAAAAAATCGTTTTGATCGTACAAGACGTATTAAGTTTAGATTTTGAGCGCGTAGCATAAAAACATAAGTTTTTAAACATTGAAGTTATATTAGATTCTTAACAGATAATGATAGCAAAATACAAGTATTATTATTGATTTTGGTTATAGTTTGGTTAAATCGTACTAAAGAACTACGCAAAGAAAATGTATACGTAAAATATAATTGATTTACAAAGTGATTTGTTTTTATTATTATTTTTTACTAATAAATGATTTCGTTTGATTTAATAGTTTTCAAAAAGAAAAAATATATGTTACTCACGTTGCACTATTAACAGCACACCATGCGATGATTCGTTTCCTATACCATTGTTTACCACGCAAAAGAAATATCCACTGTCAAATTTCGTTGCATTTATGATGGTCAAGTACGAAGTGCTGTTTTCGAGCAATATTGATGTTCGTTTGTCAAAGAAAAAATGTGGTCGAGTCCAGCTTATGTGTTCCGGGCCTAATGGCAATCCATCTATTTTGCACCAAAGTTGAGCGTCTTCGCCCTCGGTTACTACGACGCCAATTGACGTATTTGTAATGGTTGCTCGATCTAAAAAAATAAAATAATATAAAATTAAAGAAAAAACGGTTTACGAATTAGAATTGAATCAGACCAAAAAGTTAATAATGAATTTAGAATAACAATAAATCTCAGAACGTATTCCAATTATCAATTAGTCGTAGAAATGAGATAGTCATGTGATCTTAAAATGTAAAAGGAAAATGCGAAATCGAAATCCGATGATGTATGATACTAATTTAATTGATGTTTTTAGATCAGTAAAATAATTGCAAACGAAAGGCAACGAGAAAACAGATAAACGTCGACTAAATTCAACAGATCGAGCGGTGAAATATTTTACGACATTTTTGAAATACGTTTTCGACGGAAACAATAATTAATCGCTATAATTATCATGATTGATGCTTACGTTTCACTAATATAACAAACCAAAAGGTGGAAGACCCTTCGGTATTGCTCGCCTCACAGGTGTAGTTGCCGGCATCGTCACGGAGCGCACCCGTAATGTTCACCATGGAATCTCGTATGCGCCGGTTGTGGAACGTATACAACGGCTTGTTGTTTTTGAACCACTTGTACGTGATTTGAGAAGGTCGTCCTTTTGCTTGAAGCGTGACGAATATATTATCCCCTTCGGTGTACGTCATTAAATTGGGCAACGAATCAAATGTCGGTTTGTCTGGAAAAAAATTATTGATGAAAATACCACTACTACCTATTAGGTATTACTATTATTATTATTATTGTTATTACTATTGTTATTGTTATTGTTATTTTACTTCTCATCGGACGGGGTGTACGCACAAAAAAGCGACAAAATGCCGACGAAAATAATCGACGATATTTGTAATAATAGCTTTGGTTTTTTAAACGAAATACGCATAAAGTAATCCTCGTATTTAGATTAAGATTAAAAAAAAATAAAAAATATTTTAAAACAATTGTATTTTATACTTGTGTATTACGATAAAAATAATGATAAACAGTTGTACGGTAATATTAATACTGCAAGGTATTTACATTATTTTTCAGAATTATGATGCTGGCAAAATAGCATTTCATAAATACAATTCATTTATTAACGTTTATATAACGAACATATTTTCCATTAAATGAGATGTCGAATTGTTAACGGCAAGGACAGGGCTGTATGTACACTCGTAAAGTGTATTAAATGGACTGAAAATAATAAAAAGAGAAAACGGTACAAACGTAACAATAATATCGAATCCGATGAATATATTATAAGCTAGAGAATAGTGAAAAATGTATAAATATATAGTGGTTTTTGAAAACTAAATATTATATGTAATTAATGTCGAACTCGAAAATATGAACTTCCAAAAATTTTCAGTTAGAAAAACATTTTACATTTGAAGAGAAGAAAATACTTTTAAAAAACAGCAGAAATCATTGTTTACAAATTACGTTTCTATTGTACGAAAATAAAATATATTGCAATTATTTACAAATATATATATGTATAATTCAAAGCTTCACTGTTTTTTTCAGCTTTACCTTTTTGCGAAAGTAAATATTAATTTAGTCTTTAAACGTATACGTATCCCGACGAAAAAAAGTGACCGCAATTGAGAGATCTATAATGAAATAGGTACATTTTAACCACGATTGACGTCGTTAACGTACGTCATTCCCTTAAATCCTACTGCAAATAATATAGCAAATATAAATAAGTAAAATGTGTCCCATATACGACCGACCGTGTACGTATACATACGAAATCCCCATAAGTCATGTATAAAACGGTTTTATTTCTCTCTGTTACTAGGTATACTAAAACGTGCAGTCAGAACATCCGAATTGTTTTCCTAATCGAACACAGACAACATGAGTCATTATTGATAAAAGTGACATTTGAATGGGTTCTCCGAATGCGAAGAACTGCATTACAGATTCATTGCATAGTAATTGCTTCTAAATTATCTGTATTTGAAAAAATAAATTTTTAAAGGAGGAATAAGGTTTAAATTTTTTTTAGAAACCGTATTGACATTTGATTTCTCGGCACCGCGATGAGCATTTATAACTGAAATAAAATTCAATAACTTGAACGTTATTAAATCCATAAAAGTTGTATTTTATATGTAGGTATTCTTATACAATGTTGAGATTGCTAAAAATCAAAAGAATTATAATAATTTTAACAAAATGAAACAAAATTGTATGCGAAATAAGTTGATAAAAACCAATTTATTATTATCATTTTCATGGCAGTGCTTTCGATTTTGATTTAACAAACCGATACGTATATTATATTAAAGATTAATATTGTGTTAACACTTCGAGGGGAATAGAATTCGAGATATAATATTTAAAGCCAGGATTTAGTCTAATTTTTTAAATTATCGAAATACGAGAAATTAATTTTCCACACACACACGCTGTACATATTTATTATACACACTTACTGTAAACGTTAAGAGAGACGTCTTTGTGCATGTTTTTGAGTAGTGGTATATTAGTGGCTTGGCACATGTACACTTTGCCGTCCACCTCAGGCGTAACGTTGAAAGTCAGTTGTATAGTGGACAATTTTCCACCGTAAAGCCCAGGCTTGGTGTAACTGTTTATACCTTCTTTGACATGTGCACCCTCGTGCCACCAGCTCATTTTCACCGCCGGATAGCTGGACGCCGCCTCGCACGTGATCGTGCCTTGCGCACCAGGTTTGAGGTGCACCGGGTCTTGCTTGATAGTCAGGTGTTCGGGCATGACTGCGATAAGTAAAAAAAAAAAAAAACCCTAATGAATACATGACCATAAGTTGTGTAACAAAGATAAGGAAGTATTCGATTATTCTCACACCCAAAGTGATGACCTAGGTGTTTTTTTCAAATAGTTTTGCATGGGGTTTTATATTAATACGGATTTGTTGTTCACTTGACATCGAGTCGGAGGACATTAAAATCTGGCGGTTACGAAATAACACTAATCCAATCATATACGATTTTTTAAAGGCAAATTGAAAATTGTTGAGCTCATATTAATTAAAATAGGATTTTTTTAATTTTTTTTTTTTTTTTCATCCGGTAATGTACGAAGAGTCATCAATCAGATTATCAGTTTGAAAACCGAAAACCAACTGTATAGGAGCACGAATCGAACAAACTAAATAAAATTTCGTACATTTGTAATTGTCTGAACGACTTAGGGACCATGTTTGTTATTAATGCCTTTAGAAGCTACGGTACAGTTCAAAGCATAACGCTTAGGGCGAAAATACAGAAATACGAGTTTGTAAACGTGTCAGGATCAGTGTCATTTAACAATTGACATACGCTGTTGTTATAATCCGCCCCTGTTGCGTTTCGGCTTATTTCTTAATGATTACAACGACGAAATTTGGGCGTCCCGAAGATCAGTCGTTTTTTCAAAGGTTTTCGACGTACGACGGCTACGAACAATTATTATTTTTCGTATTTCACGTTTATACGTGCCGTCGTGCCGTCGTCGGAAACGATGACGTTCATCTTTTTCTCGCCTCACACGTCGTGCGGCTGCGTTTAATCATGTATAAATATGGTTCAACTACCGCGGACTAATATCCCGTCATCGGTAAATCGGTCGCGTGCAGCGGCGAGTGGGCCGTCCGAAAATTAGTGGCAAACACGGACCCCCACGTGGACAGCCGTTTGCGCGCGCGGGGCGTGGGCGATTTCCGTTTACGCGGACGTGCCTACGACAGCATTGCGTACTGCGGTCCTAATAACTCCACGTCGGTTTTACGCGATTGACGATGACGACGACGGGTCTACAAGTGCACCCGAAGTCTACAGGTTACAAGTCCGGGAGCTCTTCATGCACGGTAAGCGCACACGCGTACGAGTCCGTGTATGGACCGCGTGGGTACCTACTCATCAGTTTAATCGGTCGGCTTTAAATGATTTGTTTTTTTTTTTTTTTTTCTCGTCAACGATTCGGTGTGTGGTCGGATGGAACTATTGAATACGGTATGTTCTGCTCCGGTTGTTTTTTTTCTACCGGGGTCGTTAGGTTCGAAATTGGTTTTCTCTTCAACCCTCCCCCCTCCCCCTTGTAACGGAAGACTGGAGAAAAGATTTCAACCACTCTCGGATCTACGCGAGCCCACACATTTTTCGAAAGCAGTTTAACAGCCGACGACGTACGGCACCTTGCAACCCGACGTAATCCGATGGATCCGAAAGTTGACGACAATGCACTCCGCAGACGAGCAGAACGTTACTCTGGGCGAACGTTCACGTCGCGCCAGACCGTTCGATTTTCCCCCGGTATAAACTTTTTTTTCGAAATCCGCAAGTTCAGTTGGACCATTAATGTATACCCAAGCTACTGAGAATTGTCCAACATTATTGTATGTACGTTTGATTTCCGTTTGACATATAATCGGTTCGTATGTTCTCCACTCATTCGTGTCAATTGCCCACGCATGCAGTGCTTCGTGAAATAAACGAATCTTTTAAATTTGTATACACTTATATTCATAAATGATCACACGTATTGATATATTATTCTTATTAGTTTTTTTTTTTTTTTTTTTTTTGTTAAAAAAAATATTCGATTTCGGGTTTAATTTATTTACCAACAATAGAAATAATATACACCAAAATGCATGGTAAATCATTAATTAGTAGATATTGCAATTTTATCGCAGAAAAATATAATGAATATATTTTCAACCTATTATCGATTGGCTTATTTGAAGTATACTAATCGGATAACTGAATCAACAACTGATTTGGATTAAAAAATATTTAAAGTTTTTAACGGGTAAATATTTAACATTGCGTTTGTTGTGGTAAAATAATATGCATAATATACTATGTATTACATAGTATGTATTATATACTAATGTAATAATAAACTATGTATAGTATACTAAAATGATTTAGTAATCGTATTGTTCTTACATAATACTTTGAGATTTTGAGTTGCCATCAAAGGGATCTCTAATGCTGGATGGGTCACTTCACATTTGTACGTGGCGTCGTTGTCCGTATAATTGACCACGAATGATAGGTCAGCTGTTACTGCATTATCAGTAGTTGTTATTGTTGAACGAATCTAAACATTATTATATGTTTCACACTTAAATATTTGTTTATATCACAATAATGTATAATATATAATATTATGGTAGATATCGTTGATTAGTAATTTATCATCTAATGAAGCATATCAGTAACTGTAAAATTGTACTAACAACGTATCCATAAATTAATAATCTTATTTTAAAACGTACAAGTAATATTACGTTTATTTAATATAATGGATGTTTTCATTCGACGTACATTTTTTGATGTATTTATTTAGTGGACATAAACAATTGAAAATTTTTATTTTTTTTCGACTCGGGTTTAAATTGTTTTTTTTTTTTTTTTTAATTTTTTTGAATAGCATCTAACTACTCATGATAGATATTGAAATGTTTATGATACTGATTTCTACCAATAGCTGTATTATCGAAACTGATGTGAAATATAAGTTGAATCGTCTTTAATTTTAATGTTTTAAACGATTTATGATCGTTAAGAAATAAAAATTTGGCATCTACATTGAACACTGTTTTGCCATTGTAAATTAGTTTTAATAATTAGTAATTATTAAACAGATTATAGGATTGTTTGTTGTTAAATCGATAAAACCTTTTGCGTTCAACAAGTCGGATAATCTACATTTTCACCGTCAACACGAACGGGTATTCTCCCCTCGCGGTATCAATTATAATTATTTATTACTATTGGCTTCAGAATAAAATTTCGCAGTTACTTTGATGATTGTTCGATTATAATAATAATAATATAATATAATATACTACTTAAATGTTACAAATAATAACCATCCGGAAATTATTAATGGTTATAAAGCTAATTAAAATTAATTAGTATTACACTGTACCTTTTTATCGTTTTTAAACCATTGGATTTTACCCAGAGGATGGCCGCCGGTAGACAGACAAGATATTTTGTGTATATTTCCCGACGGAATTGGATTACCGGACGAGTGGTCGATTATGATCGGTGCTCCAGGCGGGTCTAGAAACGATCGGAAAATAACAGTTTATAACTATAATTTTTAATACGTATAAACCTCCGTTAAACTATGTGCTCGTATTAATAAAACTACTTTCAGAACTTTTTATTTGGCAATAACTGAATGTTTTTTTCGTTTTAATTTTTTCAACCATCGATGCTAATTCTATGCAAATGCTAAATGAGAACTATATACATGTTATTTAATTACTAAATTGATTTCCGCGAATAATACATTATTTTTTTCATTTTAAAAAATGTCGGTATGCAAATAAACGCGCCTGTAATTTGATTTCGGTAGCAACTTTTGTTTTTAAAATTAGCTTATATTTAAACCCAAAAATGTATGTATGGTACATATATTTTTAAATAATCTTCAACGTTCGACTAATTAAACGTGGTACAGTTACCTAAAAATACGTGATCTGCGCGCACCGATTTTTAACGGTTGTAATAAATAGTCACAACGGATATTTAATATCTATGTGAGTATTGCACTGGATTTGGGTGTGTAATTTAATACACGTGTGACTTCACTAGTGTTAATGTTATTATGACGTGCTCCTCTAAATTTTACAATACGCATTGTGTGTAATATACATGCATGCTATACATATTTTAATATCTTGACATCTGAGCGCTATTATTATTACTACGCGTATTATTAACAAATGTATATTTTCATTTCGTACAAATAACACATGCTAAAAATTAGACATATATCGAAGTAGTAAACCGTGAGTTCGTTTTACAACAATTATATAGTTTGTTTAAGATGAAGAAGCAAAACCGAATGTCATATATATATATATGCAGTCGAAAACGAATAAAACGAAAAAAAAAAAAAATCACCAACTAAATATTATTTCACCGATAGTAAATTATTATTGTACTCACATAATATATTGATCGAATGAGACGTTATAACCTTTTCGGATCCACTGTCGCTAACGGCTTGACACGTGACCACCACTAACCGCTGACCGTTCGGAATGACAAAAGACACATTAGAAATAGTAATCCAGCTGGACTGAGGACCGGCCACCACGGAGGATGTACTATTTTTTTCCGGTTCGCCGGCCACCATCCATTTTATTGTGGAAGGTGGATTACTGCGGTCGGTTTTACAGCTTAAGTTTATCACATCTCCAGGTTTGGCTTCGGTTGGACCCTTAATAATCACTTGACTCGAACCATCTGCGTGTATACACGTTAAAATTTAGTTTCACGTACGTTATACTTGGATACGTTTTGGTTCAAACGACGTGTTATTAATTTCATTTTATTTATTTCCAATGTGGGTTTTACGCCCTGTACAAAACGTGGTTCGCGGCCGATCACACGGTGTACCCGCCGCGCCATTTCAAATTATTCATTATTTGATCTATATTCAGAACTTATTCGTCGCGTTTCTCGCGGTAAGACCCCATCGTAGTATAACACCGCGAGAGAACGCGATTGGGACGAACTTAATAATAGTAATATAATTTATACGTTTGCGCTGCGCTTAATGTTTACAAACCGTGGAGATCCGTCGAGTCTTGCTTGTCAATACTATTTAAGACCCGTTAAAGACCAAAGTGTATACTTTTTATCCGAGCGATATTATGCGTCTTTTAAATCCATTGGGTCTTTCTCTCTCACTCTCTCTCTCTCTCTCTTTCTCCATCCGTCACCTCCGTAACATAATTTGTCTGTAAACAGTCGGGTTATCGCGGTAGCGTTTTATGTATACAAGTGTAAGGCTTTTATGAAAAATCAATAACACAACGGATACCCTAGCTGATGGATACGTGTTTACGGTGAAAACGTGAAAAGTGAGTGCGAAATAGTACGCACGTTATGGTCGGTCACACAAATTCATAAATAACATTACGCACCGCGCTGGCTTAGGTGTTATCGGTACGGGCAGGTGTAGCGAGCTCGTGAGTGCGACATCGATCGGGATTCACGGTAGTCGTCCTCGCGCGTAACAGGCGAACGACGGACGAACATCAACTGCTGCGCGCACGATACTCACAAATCGAACTATATATCATACCGATATACGTCAGTATCGTATCTATTATAATAATTACACGTGTACTTATATATATATTTTTTACACCTTGGTAACGAGCTCCGATCAAGTTGATCGGGGGAAACCGTTAAAAAGAAACGTTGAAACCGCGGAACGGCGGGTATAAATACTCGCTGATCACGATTCATCAAACAAGGAAACAGGCGCGTATTTAAACTTACTTCTAGTGGGGGGGGGGGGGCGATTCCATTTTTTTTTTCTTTAATTCAGGCTCTAAATTTACAAGTAAAATTTTTGGTAGTATTTAAATCTGGTGAATTTTTTATAATTGTGGTTTTTTTTTTTTAATCCTATGCCGGATCCACTTAGACAATCGACTTTTGTGTAGTTCTTTTTTAACACCTGTCTGTGTTTTGAAAGTTATGCTTGTGTTTTATTTGATTTTTCACCAAGTATGGACACGACTTAAAGTCCAATTCGGTATTCACAGCCACGCGTTATTTGATTACGTTATAAAATGATCCACATTAAAAAAATTTGAAATGTGTCTCTCACATATAATTGATTTCTTAAATGCGGATTCAGGAGGGGGGGGTGATGGCCCCTCCGCCCTCAAAATAGGCTCCTGCAAAGAAACGTTTATTTAATATTAAAGCAATAGTGTTTTTTTTCTTCAATGGGCTTTCAACAATGAATAATATAATTATTTTCCTGGGATGCGCTGGATAAAGAACAACGCAAATAGTTAAACGGTGTGCCTAAACATTTATTATAAATGTAACGTTAATTATTATTCCATGAAAACGTAAATAGAAAATTGTAATTGAAATAGTCATTGGCTACGAGACTAATAAAATCATAAAAAGAACCAAACCTCTACTCGTTGAAAACGTAAAACTCTCTTATAACATTCTTATGTACTATACTGTAAAAATTTTTTTTCGAAATTACGTAAAAATAAAAAAATATATTCTCTCTCCCTCTGTTTGTAAGAAGTAGACGTTGTGAAGTAATACATGTAGGTGTATAATTATTTATTGCAAAACTCGAAGGTCCTCGGGGAGAATGTAAAGGAGGTTAAAGGAGGTAAATTATCTGTAGACTATTTTCGGGAATTTTTAGATTTTATAAGGTAACTATTATTACTTTTTCGATGATGTTGCGTGTTATTGATTATAATATTTATTTTTTTTTTCGTTTCGTTTTAAAATAATTTCACACCACTAATCTGCATCGAAGCGTATGCACGCAACGAAGCGATATAATGTATAATATAGAAATCAATTACAGAGCTTTCATACGATTGGTCCCTGCAAATATGATATTAGATATTGTTTAGAAGTATTTTCTGATAACTACCGAAATGATTGCTGTACCGAAATTGTATTCCGGACTTGTTTTATAAATATAATTTAAATTGTTTCCGTCGTACGATACGGTACAAACTTTTTTTTCCAATATTTAGTGGTGTAATGAAAATGTAAATACTTTCTGTAAATTATTCTATATAATTTATGCATTAACACAATATAGATGATCGTTAAGCTCGTATCATTGAATTGGGAGACGGCTCTCACGTTTGATTAAAATACGCTAGTATTAAGATAATTTGGTACTTGCGGTAGCTGTCATTTTCAAGGTGATCACAACCACCAAAATTGGTTAGCGCCTAATTAATTATTGATCAGCCAAAATTTGGTTCGTCTCATCTTTAGTTAATGGACTATAGAAACGCCTTTATGTGTTGGGGCAGTAACAAAAAGCTGTTATAAACGTATTTTTATTCATTGCAGTATTTATTTTTCCATATAAATTATACTAATTATAAGCTGTATTTGTGTACAAGTATTTAAATACTTTTCATAGTATCGATAACTATTTTAAATTGATACTTAAATTTTCGTTGAGAATATTCAAAAAAGTATTTCAAAGACAATTTTTTGGCATTAATTTTACATCAATACTTTTGTTTCGTTTGAGTTTTTTTTTTTTATAACTCTCTACCCAGTTATTACTCCGTACAAGGTTTTATTGATGGAGCAAACTAACAAGCAAAAAAAAAAAAAAAGTATATGCGGTAGTACACTATTTTAAAAAGTCAACTTAAAAAATATTGAAATATAAAATTTACTTTATTGGTTATATTCTATACATATGTTACGGTCAATAGGTATGGAATACTGGGCAATGTACACATTGCTCGGCAATTTGGCTCTCAAATAGTATTAAATAATTATTAAACTTATAATAATATACTGTAAAATATTTTTATTACAATACAAAACAAAGTATAAAATGTCAGTATAATATTTCTTACTCGCTTTTTATATTATTCCAAGTTATATCTATTGTTTTTCTGTGTTACATTGGTAAAAGTAATAGCTATGCCGATACGATCAGATAACAATATAAGAACAATAATTGATATTTACGATGAAGCAGTCAAGTTTTCGTGCTTTTCAAGACACTTTGTACATTGTAATTATTTATATATATTCGTGGTTCAAATTGCCCGGTATTCCATATTGTCCCATATATATTAATCTATTAAAAAATCATGGCTCATTGTAATCGTTCTTTTCGTTGTATTTTCAATACAGTTCTTGAAAAGTATTTAAATAGTAAATGTATAAGCATATATAACAGCAGTGCTTATAAAATATTATTAAAAATTGACGAAAACGCAAACATTACATCGTAAGTCTAATTACTATGTTATCGTGAAACCATCAGACTCAATATTTCTGAAAATTAACTGTCGAAATCAAAGAAATTTTTACTGAATCGTTTTCCAAGTGTAAACTTTACCCGCTACTCTAAAAATGCATCATGTTCCCATTTTGGCTTTATAATACATAAACAACTGGATACTTGCACTTCAACATTGTGTACATCTGTTAATTTTTCATAGTATTTAGCACACCAACAATTATTTTTAATGCACCGATTAAACAACGTGTAAACGATCGTGTTTTCGGTACAGTGTATACTTAGAATGAGTAAATCACCAATACGTGTATCACGTACATCGCTGTGTCAAGCGCGCGAACATTGTTGAGAAGATTTTTTTTCTTCTTTTGTCATACAAAAACCTATCAGATATCATCGGCCCGAGCGTTTGTTAGTTGCCTACACGGTACTGTGTATTTTATTTTTAAACGCGATTATAATGTTCGTTTTTTTTCGGGAAAAACGACGTGTTAAGAGGTCGTCGATTTGTTATCTCCGGCACACTACGTGCTCGCGCGGTGATTTATTGCTATGGGGTGCGTTACTACCTACTTCTCGTGGGAGACCAATAATTGACGGCGGTGTGCGGCGACTAGAGGTCAATATTTGACTACGCGTTTGAAGATTACGATAATGTATTATTGTTGTACACATCCGTGTGCCGTATCGGCTACGACAGTGTTTTTGTTCGTCACCACAACAGCATCGTCGATGCAGTGATGCGCACGTAATTCGTGTTTCACACGAACTTTCAATCCTACCGACGGGCGTCGGGTAAACAATATCACCTACGCCGCCGGTACCTGTCGTTTTCTGATAAAAAAAAAAAAAAACCCCGAAACAATATACTCACGTACCCGTGTCGACCATTCCGAACGGAATATTTTCGACACGAAACAATAATTTCCGCGTGTTCGGTTCGCGGTGAACCGACGTGCCCCCCCCCCACTCGGACTAACCAAATAAATTATTTGAAATAATTAACGTACCGCGGGAACGAGTTCACGCCGCGGCTAATGCAAATGTTAATTGCGAAAAAACGAAAACGAAAACACTTACATGACACCGAGAGTACGACGTCAGCGTATTGAGGAACTGGGCTAATTGAGTTTTTCGCTTCGCAGCGAAATCTCGCGTTGTTGTCCGAGACGTTAGCCGTGAATCTGTACGTGCTCTCCGACACCTTTTCCGTTGTCCTGGAAATAATATGTGTTACACACGTGATCGTTATTCAAGAAAAAAAAAACACCACACACGCAACGCGTTAAACGCAACACAACGCTGGTTGTCGGTGGGCACACGTTCGCCGCCGAGTAGGTAGTTTCGGGGCGGTAGGCATAGGCGCAATTAGATTAAAACATTTGGCCCCTCCCATACATTTTTCAATCACTGCCTCTCGGAAACTTTTTCCACCCTTCACCCTCTATAAATAATGTGCTTGTTGGGAGGCAAGTAAAACTTAAAAATAAATTATAAAATTTCATTTTTTCAGTAGTAATCATAAATTTTTTTTTCTTTTTATTTATCAATTTAACTATATAAAATTTTGTATGGTTTTTGAGAGAGAGCTTAACATCCCCAGACCCCCTTAATTGCGCCTACGGTGGTAGGTTGGTAGGTAAACGCTGCCCATTGCATTCGAGAGGCTTGCGCGCGGCCGTAGCGGTACTCGGACATCTTGTCCGATTTACGAATTTATTTACGTTACACTCGGACGCGTGTATTTAAATAATACGTGCGATTGACGCGTTTGTCAGGAACAACGCAGGAACAAGGGACGCGATGATGTATCGTACGAAAAAATCACGAACGAAAAAGGTCTCATTCCGCGCGAACGGCGTTCGAGCAAACGATGCGTACCGCATCGTCGCGTGTGCGTTTTACTTTTTATACGCGACCGCGGCATGTTCACACGAACACCAATTGGGAGGGGGGGGGGGCGAATCATTGTTCGATGCAATAAAAATTACATATGAGTACCTGTATTCGTTCAGAATCATCTCGTCGTTCCTGAACCATGTAAGCTGTGTTGGAGGATTTCCAACTTTCGACACACAACGCAGGACGACTTGCTGTCCTTTTTCCAAGTTTTCGCCTTCTGTGTACCCTTCGATATGAGGAACTCCTGGTGGATCTACATAAATAACATTTACACATGGACATTACATTGGGGATATTAGGGCATTTAATCGTAACAAGTAATTGAACATTTTGTGAATAAAATAAACACTCAATTCGTATTAATAATCTGATGTTCGGTAAAAATTATATTTTATTCCAAATGACAAAAAATAATTAAAAAATATTTGATTAGATTTTGACATAACTAATTTAAAATAATACACGGACATTTTCTTTAGATGATTTTGGGACAAATATCTTAATATTATAAGTTTTATTAAAATGAATGATTTAAGAAGTAATTAGTAATTAACTATTTGTTTTTACTGTGATTAAATACAAATATTTCATTAACTATTTTTATTTTTCTGCTAAAAACATTTATTATTTACATGTGCAGCATAATTTGTTTGTAATTAATTTAAGTTAACATAATATAGTAAACACCTAACATGGTTTTGTTACAACTCTTGGTTTGCATGTTTACATTACTTTCTATATTCGTATTTGAATAATGTTAATTCTTCTTGGGTAATTGATAATTAAAAATGTTGCATAAGGCATATTTAGGAAGGAGGGTTAGACGATTCTGAACTTGTAGTCTTTTATAATCATAAAAATTTCTTAAAAATACTAATATGCGCATGGATATTTTTTCTGTATTGTTTTAAGTTTAGAAAAAAAAAAAGCAGTTATGGACTGCAGTTAAGTTCAAGTTATCGAAATCTGCAGTCCATAATTCTACCTTCTATTTGGATACTGATTAAAAAACTTGATTAGAAATAGATTCTGATAACACTAAAAAAGCGCGATTTGATTTAAGTAATTTACAAAAAAAAAAAATTTGTGAAAATATGCAAACAAAAATTATTTTTATTGTGTACAAGGTACAATAATTACAATATTAATAATATCGAAAATAAGATAATCGCTGAAGATTACTATATCTTAAATAAATATATTATTTAGATCTATTATAATTTAAATATTATAGATCGATAAAAATATTTGAATTTGAGTATATGATGTATTATACAATTATTTCATATGACTTATTGTAATAATAGCATAATGTACTTAATTTTTGTTTTTTAAAAATAAATAATTATAAATCATACACGTAATTATAAATGCAATTTTTTTTCCAACTGTTCTTATTTTAAATCAAAAATACAAAGATAATTTTTTTTTTCATTTGCTTTTTTTTCTACGTGCTTTTTTTCCATAAGCTTTTTTTCACTTTATTTATTTTCTGTTGTTTTTTTTGTTCTTAATCCCAATCGTTTTATAGTCCATCCATAATAAACACCAACACTCTAATATTACTAGACGTTTAAGTTTCGTCTATTTATATTATATTTGTATTACATTTAAAATAAATGAATAACATCCTTATACCTACTTCACGAGTTTATGATGAGTATGAAAGACATTATTTCTTTAAATGTCTATAAGTGTCGGAGAATAGTTTTATGTTTAACACATAATAAAAAATTAAATATATATATGCAAAATAAAAATAGGTTACATGGAACAAAATCATACAAATTCTTCTAATGTGCAATGCATTTGTTAACAGTATGTTTTAGTTATATATTTGGCGAAAACCCAAGAATTATGTTTCAACACTTTTCTATGGATAAGATTGTTAAACATAAATGCAGTTAGTAATGATATTATTTTAAACGAAATGTTCGGAATAATTTCTATGTAAATATTTATGATTTTATGAATAGTAAATTTTAAAGGGTGGAGATTTAAAAATAATTTAATACCAACTCAACTTTTAAAATAAAAAAAAAACAATATGGTGTATTATCAGTTATACATGTCAAGCAACAATAAATTTAAATTATTTTGCAAATAATCCCACAATCATCGTAAAATTATTATTGCTATTATAATAATTAACCATAGCAAGGAAATTTCCTAAGATTATTACAGTCAAAATTAAGTATCTAATTTATGATAAAACAATTGTATTGTACTGCATAATTGTTCTCAACACGATACGAAAATATTCATATTGAAATTTATACTTATAAATCAAAATTTAACATTTTTATTAAAATCTCTGATTGCCAAAAATAAATTTTACATAACTTTTTACTTGGTAACAAATAATGATTAATAGTATTTATGAGCCATGGTCATTGACTAATGCTGCGGTTAAACACCGTTAACACCCGGATGGGTGGCCATTCGGTTTTTAGCGACGAAATTGCTGTTCTTATATTACGAGTTCAAAAAAATTATTACTATTGTTACTCTACTACAAGACTCCATCGTCATAACTGTCAACCAACAGCTATGGTCATCGAATATATCAATAATTGAAAAAGGTAATAACTATGAATTAGGTGTTCAATTTTAATTTCAAAAAATCTAGATCACAAATTTTTATAACGGAAATAATAGTTCTATTATCGCGTGAATATGGGAAAGAAAAAAAACAATTGAACATTTTTAAAATCTCTGCTATAGAATTATTAATCAAGAAACAGTAATGGAACAATTTCTCAAAGGTTTAAGACATTGTTTACGTAAACGCAATTATAATTACAAATTACAAGCACACACACACACATGTATATTATATTATGTAGGAATGAAATAAATTTAATAATTCATTTTATAATTGTATTTTTCATTTCGTTTATTTATCCTAAAAATGATTTTCTATAGTCATTTTTTCTGAGATGCACATGTCATGTCGGTGAGTTTGAGGTCAGAGTTGTGACAACTCTCACTGGCTTTTCCAACTATGGTGATTTTGTTATTAAAACAGCAAAAAAAAATATTGAAATAATATTTATTTTTTGTATAACCTCCAATCCCGATTGGTTATAAAAATATAATCATTGAATATTCTGAAATAATGGTTTACAACAGCACATGCAATGATTACCGAAAATATATTAAATAAAATAATTATTACGCTGGACTATGCTGTATTATGTTATATTTACGGGATCAAATTGAGGGAAAAATAACTACAGCTTTACTTGAGTCAAGAGTGTCTGAGTGGTTAGACCACAACGAAGCACGTATAATAAGAGATACGGCTACGGGGTAAATTAATAACGATGATAAGATTCTGGCAATGTTTTCGGAAAAAAAACAGACCAACTGTAAATAGAGAAAAAAATACAAGTATTGCACTTACAGTCGATATACAATTCGTACTTGTTTCACAAACTCATAATAATATTGAAGTTAATTTATTTATACGGACTGTGTCCGTAATTTCATTGGCGAGTTGGATGCTAATTATTTTCAACCCTGAGAAACTTTCTTTGTTCGATAAAACGAATGCTTTAACCAAATATTTATACAATTAGGACTTGATTAAAAATCAGAGCAATCCGAATTCTATACGTCTCAATTCGAAAATGAACCGTATCATAAAACAAAAATCTAATTAATTGTAATATTATAACATAATATTAGGTACATATATGAAATGTAATGAATGCAACGCAGTGCTTATTAGTATAGAGCGCTGAAAAATGTTATGTATAGAAGAAACATTGTAATCGAATAAGCATTTAATGATTTCGGAACTGTTCCATATTTTAATTATACGCAACCGGCTATTTATCTTAGATAGGATGTTAATTTTTTATGTTTTAGCTGCAGATACATAATATCACTTGGAGCACTACCAGATAAAAGAAGAAAAAAAATAATTGTACTTCGGACGCGATCCATCGAAAATTGTCAAATGTTTATATTTTATAATCGTTACGGTTTCATTCGAGACAGTGTGAATAATAACATCGTTCTAGATTATATTACACAAACACATACACACACATACCGATGATATTTTTATTATAATGTATACTGCTGCATCACGTTAAATTAATAATAATACATTTATTGCATATACTTTTTTTTTTCTATCTCGTATTATCCCGGAACCTGACGCACTAATAATACGATTGCGTGGACGATACAAATATATCGGAAAGTACTGCTGTACGCCTACATTATGTTATTATAAAATTTATAATAACATATTATAATTATATTTAATATAACAGAGTTGTGTTGAAGAAACTCACATAAAACCCGTATTCGAATGGAGGACGAAAGCGGATCCGATAGAGCTTCGTGGTGTGCTTCACATCTAAACATTTCACGGTCGTCCCTGGACGTAGCGGTCACTTTTATTCGGCTTCGGGCAGTGTACAATTTTAGGTTGGTCGTACCCACGGTTTCTTCGTTGACATTATCAACCCGCTGCTCTGTAAAAACCAAGGGACACACCACATATTATTATTACAATGGCACGAGCGCAACGCGACCGATGCGACCCTCAGATCGTAGTACAGATAAGGTTCCCATGTAGGTACGCGGGCGCAGTGGGTGTATGCACAGAGGTGGTTGTGCCTGGGCACCATCCGAAAATATTATTATTATCGAATTTTAATTTGAATTTACACATGGTTACTGTGGTCTACATACATTTGTGATACCGAAATATAATAATACATTTATATTGTTATTGTTTTTTCTCTATTCATTTGATTCGGTTGTAATAGTTCTGTTAATAATAACGAGGTAAGAAGATTATCAACAAAATGGATACGTACACTTTTTTGAAGTGCATGATATTTAGCTAATTGATATAAATATGAAAATTAATTTGAAAACGGTGTGCGGAATTATTATTTTTTGTTATCAAGAGTATCGATAGGTAATAAAAGTTGATTTTTTTTAGGCGGGGGGGGGTAGATTTCTCCCTTCCCGCTAGCTTATTTAGTTAATTTTTCTCAGGTACGCCCCGAACTTCTTCGACGTCTTCTTCCCGACGTCTTCGCACGTCTATGGGTATACCTGTAAGTATATTACGAGTACACCATCACTGCAATGGTTCGTCGTCGAGACCAATCATTCGTTTATTCTATTACATGTTATTGAGTGTTACAGTAAAACGCGCGATCCATGTACCATGTGTACAAAATCTAATAATAATATGTACTCACCGGGATTGATTTCAGTTCTGCTGCGAAACCACACTATTCTCGCCGGAGGTTTAGAGTTTCGAGCGACACACTCAATAGTGACTTCGTGGTTTTCTTGCACTTCTAATTCCGAATCTGGAGATTGGTTGACGAATTCCACGGACAATGGCGGTGCTGTTCAAACAATTCAATTGATATTTGACATTAGTGTTATTATTATTATTATTATTATTATTATTATTATTATCATTATCATTATCATTATCATTATTATTATTATTATTATTATTATTACTATCATCGTTGTTATTAGTGTCGCATTGTATCGAATGGGAAATATCTTAATTAATTTCGTTTTATGGGTTTGATGAAAAGTGGTTTATCGAAGACCGCATAGAATACTAACACATTTTTACGAGTAAAGAAAAAAAAAATCGACGATAAAAATAAATAACAAAAAAAAATAACATCGGTAAGCGATTGCGAGTTTATTATAATATTATAAATACATGTGCATAAATGGTTTTAACAATAAAAAAAAAAACGTTCGCATACGTATTTATATATGAATATTATATATATGCAAAGCTCGTCATTAATGATTTATGGCTTATGATAATCCATATGTTAGGTTAGAACTTCTTTGTGAGGTCTAACCAACAACATCTGGCTTTATACCCTCTGGGATTTAGAACAAAAACATATATACGTACACATATGACACAATTAGGCAAAAGAATTGTTTGAACTGAAATAATTTTATGAAACTGTTTTATTTGTAGTAAAAATTGATAACAAATGTTGTATGCTGTACAATATCACTGTGGTACAAACGCTATGATCTAAAACTGCAGTTATTTTTTGTATGTTGTACACTATTTAAATAATAAAACGTAAAAAGTAAAATAACATTATCGCATAATAAATTGCGAAAAAATAATAATATAGCACGTAGAATTAATTTTTTTGTTTCATTACCAAGTATTATGTTATTTTATATACCTATAATGGACAGGGTATGTCTATGTAAGACAAAAAAAAAAAAAAAATGTTTGTAAACATATACGATAAACTGTAAATTAATACAGGACGTCTCAAATAGTATAATTTAATGAATCTTACGAGGGGTTTCGTTATACAAGTAAAACTTTTATGGTTTTTATAGAGAATAAATACGTAACTTCTCATATTTAAGAACATCAATGTGAAAACATAACTTGTAAAGTAAAATATTTGAAATCTTTAAGAACAATAGCCCAATATTAATACCTAAACAAACTAAAAATGTATCTAATAAAATTAATATTACATAACAACTCGATAAGTTATCGATTTTTAAGCTAGGTCAGCGATTACCTGGGATTTTTGATTGGTTGGAGCCTAATAATTGATCATAAATTAGTGTAATTTATCCATAACTATAGAAGTATTTGGAATTGGCTTATATTCTCCCCGTCTTAATGAAAAAAAATATCATTTAACAGAATTAAACAGAGAACGTGTTATACTTTTCCATAAAACTATTCGTATAAATATAAATAAATGTTATGTGAAAAATAAGTTTTGAAGAAGGTTTGAGCCGTAAAGCCTTCTGGGATGCAACGCTCTGTGCTAAAGTTACGAATCGTTAATATCGGATTTAATTAAACTAACAACGAAATAAAATTATACACCTGATGGGCACGGAATATAATGCGATTCCAATAACATTTCAAGTGTATTTACAGTCTCGTTGACAAAGCCACAAATTATTTTATTTTAATTTTTTAACGCAAATGATCCCATTAAATCGTATTTCGTGTTTTTATGTTGTTTAAGTATTATATTGCATTTGACAGAACAGAAATAATCATGTACGCATTTATGAGTATAAGGTACAATAATGTATTCTGTTATTTCGGATAAGTTTCTATCACACCGAGTTTTAATATTATTAAAAAACAAATATACAAATACCGACCTTATTTAATGAATGTCGGTTATTCGTTTTCATAAATTACACATTCCTGGAAACAGTTATTTAAAATTGTAGGTGTAAAAATTAATCATAATTTAATATGGTATAAGCGATTACTAGTTGATCGTGTTATTACATTTAATGGCCGCACATAAATAAATTACATAATATTTTTTTACGAAATTAATAATAATAGAAAAAAAGTGTTTGTGCTTATTTTGCTAATTAATAAAAACAAAAAATAAAAAAATATATTACGTGTGAGAAACACTAAAAATTCGAATATGCCATTCTAACCTAATTCGTAACTTTATTGGCTCAACCTTCCGAATGAAAAGAGAAAGAATTGTAATTATTAATGTACGAGCCCAACACTTTTTTCGAAACGTGTCTACTTATCGTATAATATTACGTTAACGATTATTAATATCATATACACCGGTAGGGTTTTTTCCCCCCATTCGACGTTTTATTTCGTAAAAATAATATAATATTGATTAACATAATATATACACTACAGCAGTCAGTTGGTCGCAAAACGTCTGTCCGTTCCGATGACGCAAAATGTATGCAACGACATGAGTCTTCAAAAACGTCGATGGGATCGTACGAAATTATGTGAACGCAGTGCAGTCATTAATTATATACATAATACCGAAATTCAAGTAACCGACAAATAGCTTTGTTACACCGGCGTGAACGGCTGGATAAAAATCAGGTTGTTAGTAATGCATGGTAAATTAGACGAAGATGGACTCATTATATTGTTTAAAATAACGAAACGACTCGTTACACACCCACACCATATAATAATATATATTTCTCCGGACACTTACATATTACACGTGTTTACTTCTAAAAAAAAAAAAATAAATAAAATAAATAAAATATATACATACGGACGAATATATATGTTTTTTTTTTTTTTTAAATCACTGAAGCTATTTATTGCATTTTAATTGTTAACACCTTTATCGTTAATAACCATTCAAATGAAACGAGTTTTAGGCATGATAGTGTTTCTAATGTTATAGAAATAAGAATCCGCAGAACTATTGGTCAGCAAAATTAAATTACTTTTTTTCTCAAAGTTAAAAAAAAAAAAAAACTCTGCAACGATGTGAATTCGGTACAATAATAATTATTCCTTCATGACATACTTTACGAGTTTAATCAAACAGAAGTAGTGTACGCAAATATGTCATCAAATCAAGAACTTTTTTAACAAGAAAAAAAAAAATTACAAAAGTAAAAACGTCGTAACACATTATAATATAGTGGACATTACATTAAGCGCATTTTCTCTTCGTAACGTGTATACTATATACGTTTTGTAATAATGAAAAAAAAATCAAAATAGTAGGTATTGAAAAAAAAGATCGGTATCTTGGTCGACAAAAATGTCATAGATTATGTTAATTTCAAAGACACCGAATTACAACTCTATTTATGAAAATACTGTTTTTTTTTTAACGTAAAAGAATCGGGCCCAACTCGAGCGCTAGTGTGTGTCGAGGGAACAAAAAAAATAATAATATCATTATATTATAATGATTTCGATCGAAATCTGCGATTGTGTTTTGTGGTTTTTTCTAGTAGCGGCGGTCTTAATTAATTTTATTCCGTCGCTACTGTTATCACGTATATAAACTGTATTGATTTTCATCGGTACATACGTGTACGGTTATTATATATAAATACGTAGGTGAAACGACAAACACAATCATTACGGATAAACCTAGCCAATGACATAGACTGCACATAACGTGTAAATTATATTATAAATATTGTATTTAAATGTGTACGTGCTTTGGTCCACGGATAGTCCGTCGATACGCGTTATACACTTATTATTTATATATTATTATAATTCTATACGACGTGTTCAATTCGACTGACGGTGGCACGTCGAATGGCAATCGGCATCACTTTGAACGGGAGTCGAATCGTTGATTCAATTAATTCGACCTTTGATCGTCGTGTTGAGTGCATGTCATCGATTTTCGTCGCACCAATAATGCAACGCAGAACGAACGCGCGTTCCACGTATGTACGTGTGCGATTCGTCTGCGCCTCGCAGCCGATTTCATGATTACGTAATAATAATTATACGGGCACGGGTAAGAGTATGAATATTAAACGACACGAAAAATAATGCACGACATTCGGATGATGGGAAAACAACCCCCAACCAGTGGTGTAGTTAGAGCATAACGTCAAGGGTGAACGGACTGGGCTTTGTCCCCACACCTGTGAAACGATTACAAGGACATTATTCTATTAATAGAGAATATAAATAAATATTTTTAATTTTTGTTGCATAATACTGTGGTAGACATTATTCAAAACTATGAATATATTAAGTTATGTACTTCGAAATATATCTATACATATATATAAATCACATACTTTTTATTTAACTCGCATATTTTATCCACCCGAAAAAATGCTTTAAAACTGTCACCGTCTCTTTTTCATTAACAAATACCCCCGGCAAACACGGATATTTCAGGGGTTGAAAATTAATACTTTTGTATATATATATATGTATTGTGTAATAAATGCAATAAAGTCGTTTAAGGTTTTCATCGGGAACACGGATAATTCTCATATAACATAATGACAAAACAAGATTGTGCAAAATCGTGAATCGTCAGCGATGTGATGACGATGTACTCACTTAGGACGGTTAACCTAGCCGACGATCTAATTGGTTTGCTCCCTGGTACCGGTCCGGGGGTTACTTGACACTGGTACTGCGCATCATCCATTATTGTCACATTTCTGACAAGTAAATTGTACACCCCGTTTCCGGAATCGATCACCATGGAATGCCTCGGATGTCCCGGTATTTCGGCCGCATAACCTGTAATTGAGACAAATCATTATAAGAGTCTTGTTAATAAGTTGTATGTATATACGTATACACGTTGCTGGTATTACACTTAATTATGTTTTAAAATGCATTCCTTCGTTCCCTTTCCGTCACTATCCCTTTCAGATTTTCCTCCCCACTGCCACAACGACTTTAACGTCGTGGTTAGAAAAAAAAAAAAAAGGTTAACGGTTTGTGTAAAAGCAACGGATTTTGCGTAAATCGGTACGTGTTAAGACCTACCCAGAGCTAAGCCGTCTTTAGTCCACTGGACGTCCCCAATGACGTCGTTGATTTCGCAGTTCAAAGTCACATTTGTACCTTCTCGAGCGTTAACGTCTTTCGGCCGCACTCTAAACTCTTGTTGCACGAACGCTGTCACTATAAATTCAAAAAGAGAAAAAAAAAATCGAATTATTATTTTTTCACAGTACAATCAATACATTCTATATAAACCACCATGGGACGCAAGACGATTGTTTTTGACATATTTATAATATTATTTCAGTAACGATAATACAATATTTAAACAAACCAAAACGTATACGTACACAACGAACCGGTTTGTATTATAGTACTTCGTATACGTAATATGGTATAACATAGAGTGTTTATTGTACACAGTTCTTATAAGACTACCATAATACGTCCGAGGGAAAAACACGGGATTAAACAATTTATTTTTTATTTTTATTTTCACGTCGAGTCAGCGCGTAATATATGTTCTACACGTGACGCTTAAACACTGTAAACCTTACGAAACTCGGTTTGTGCATAGAAACACAGATAAATAAAAAATATGTACGCGCATGCACAAATGAACTAATAATGTGATTCATGTGTGTATTTTATACGACAAGACGAACGTGAATGCGTGTTATTGTTCATCAGATGGGACAATGGATACGTCAGTGTGCGATCCTCGCGCACGGCGTTCCGACGTTGCACGAGTGGTAAACAGTGTTAAATACGTACAAATGCTGTAGTGTTTAAGGACGCATTATTCAAAGGATACGTCACGGAGACGATGATGGTGTATGCATTACGAATAAGTTTTCTTAAAGACGTAATATTACTATATACAATGCCCGCGACCGTTTATCGAATGAAGTTTGATTTACTTCTTGCTCAATACTAACGTATAAAATATATTAGGATATATATATATAGTTACAACCATTGTGACAAACGTATTTTAAACGATAATTTCAGTACGTACATCACATGTATCAATCGTGTGTATAGGAGTGTGTAGCAAGTGTTGCGCGTTGAGTATTGTTTTTCAGGTTTGACGAATATTTTAATTAGCCGCCTGATCAAAATAAATCCGTTCCGTCAAAAACAGTGATTCCGTTTAAACGTATCAATTACGTATTTACATAGGAGTTTTATCATGTCTTTTTACAAAATCTGCGGCGCAGTAAAATTCACCTTTACTATTTCTGACTGTTATCTCAAATAGAAAATCCATTCCTACCCGTAGCATTATAATTTACAGCGATTGAACACGTAGTCTTAATGGTTTGTTTAATGATGTTTAAATTGATTTACAGTACCATAACATTAAAACTAAACGCTATTGTATTTACCATATCAATACATATAAATATTTAAAACAACAAACATTTTTAATTCATTAGTAGACATTTCACTATATTACATTATAAACTTTATTTATTAAGTGATTATTAGGAATTTATTTATAACCAAATTTTTATTGGAACTTCAATGAATATGTAACATACCTAATACTCGTACATAACAAAATTTAATAGTACGCGATTTATTAAAAAATAGTTACGTGAAAACGAAAAATGTTTTTTTTTCCATTTGTTAGAACTAAAAATTGAAATAACAACGCATTAAAAAATTAACAAATCGTATAGTCAATTAGTTATTAAATTACAATCATATCATAATCATGCGTATTTTGGAGATAAAAATTTATAAAAATAATTATAACAATAAATATTATGTTAAATAATATGTACGTAGTTCGATATAATTTATCTCCAAGTGTATGATTAAAAATGGGCTAGTTCGAATTTTATGTATATTTAATTATTTCAAATTTATATTATGTTGTACCTTAATACCGCAGTCAGCCACAGCATACAAACGTTAATTAACATAAAGGAAAAAAATAAATCCCATTAAATAAATTTTCACACGCCTAAAACACAGTACACACCGTATACGAAACCTGCTTAACGACGAATACGTAATTTTAAACGTATTTTACAAAACCTGATTGTAGACATCAAAATATTCGATGTAGGTGAATGACATTATATAGAAATCACCGCTGATTGATAAAGTTTATACTTGTATTCAAGTACAAAATAAGTCGCTTGCGAACGTAGGTATACGCTCCGAAACACACTTTGCAATGTTTGCATTTTATTACACTCGTACAACATGTTTTAATAACAAGCCAAGAACGTATTCGACGAAATATAAAACGAGTCGTGCGTATTATGACCACGATTCGATTTGACATAACTGTACACGGAGTTGTTGTCGACGACGTAAATCTAACTTGACGATTAGCGCATCTGTTTTGTTTCAATTTACCATATGTACCGCGCGCGATCGACAAACATTGCGGATAATACATTTCGCATCGAATTATACCGACTAAACCGTGTAATAACTAACATGATTAAATGATAAACGGAGACAAAGTCTGATTTACAAATTTTGGAGCCAGGAACTCAAATAAAAAGAGGCCTCATATAAAATTATTAATTATCTTATTCAAAAATGTATATTTTATTTTATATAATTAAATATTGCACTTAATTACATTGTTTTTTTTTCTATGGTCTTTCAAAAACAAATCAATGTGTCATCATATGATAATTTTTTAGTTATTTCGTGTTCTACTGTTAACAGAGTCAGATTATCAAACCTATCTTATGATAAACATGTTTTCAATTGAGTTTTTACACATTTTAATGATCGTTCGCTGCTACAATTTGTACAAGGCATTGTCAAATAGATTTGTAACATAGTTTCAATACTGGGAAATGTACATATGTTTTATATTCATCGATTTTAGATATTTAAGTTGATGTTGAGGGTCTCTATCAGGGCATTAAAAGTATTATCATCGTTGAAAATTACATTTTTAATTCTTGAAATTGTTGGTACCATTTTGGGTTTTGACCATAAAAAAATGTTTTAAGTTATTAATTTTATCCATATTTTTATCAGGGGATTCATCACAAAAAATTCATATGAGATCTTTAATGGCTATAAAGCAACATTTTTCTTCGACTTGCTGTAGTCTATTTCATCATTTCCACAACCTAATGATATTAATAATAACATAATTTTGTAATTTTATTAATAACAACCGAAAAAATATTGTTAGTTTACTTAATTATAATATCTTCAACAAATTTATTACCAACTATAATTATTATTTTAATGTAAATTATCTCACAATTTATAACAATAATATAAGATTATTGAATTAACATAATAAAAAATATAAGTAGTTAATTACACTGAAATATATTATTAATTTTTGTTAAATTAAAATTTGTTTTATAAAGCACAATAAACAAATATACATGCAAATAATATAGTATAACATAAAAATTAAGAAAATATTTATAATCTGACCAATATTGAAATCACAAATAAATAAAACATAATTCTAGTTTTAGACAATTTTGAGCATCTGAAACATGCATAGCAAAAACATTTAACACAAGAACAAAAATTATAAATTATTTGTTAAAATCAAGACAGAGTCTAAGTCAACAAAGACATGCAACATACTTTCATATTCGTTATAATTTATGTACAATTTTATATTAAGAAATAAAGACCGAAATTATTCATAATTAACTTGTACACACACCAAATTGCTTTTTAATTAGTATCTAATTATTTATCTTTTATGAATGAGCTTGAATTAACTTTACACCTTACACTTTACACCTATCAACACTAATAATATTATTTTCTATATGAACCACTTGATCAATTCAAACTCATTTTGGGTACTAGTACAACTAATATCAAAGTTTTTAATAATTAAATCTACAAAATGTAAAAATGTTCAATAACATTAATTAAAATTACATGCTACCATTATTTACAAGATTAAATACTTATCAGAGGCACAATATGTTTCACAATTAATATTTAAATTATTTTCTATTGTTTATTAAGGTTTGTAATAATTTAAAAATAATTTTTTCGTAACATTTGTCAAGTGAACCTTTTCAATTTTCAATTTTTTTTTCTTTTGTTAGTTTTAATTTGAAGTTTTTTGGCACCCCCATACATTTTCTTTTTAATCCAGATGTATCGTGAACTTGATAAAAGCGTGAAATAGCACTCTCAAAGTTATTGCAGAAATATTCTTGTCTATGATGAAAATAACGTTAATAACTGATAAATAGATCATGCTCTATGCTCGTACGAACATTAATTGCATTTTATTTGAATGGATAGCATTTAATGTTATCATATAGTTCAATAAATAGAATAGACACTCAAACAACTGATCGATTTGTTTTTGCAATTTTAGTATTTATTGCCTTGGTTTTTATCAAGAAACTGTAAAGAATGACAATAATAATTATTGTTCTCTAAAACTATAAATTATCTTTAATAGTTTTATTGTTTTTAACTTGATTAATAATTATTGTTGGTAATATTAATATTTATAATTTATATGTCATACATTATTAAACATTAATAATTTACGAAGTCAATATTATAGATAATATTTAATATTATATAATATTATGACAACTTTTATCATTCTTTTTTTAAAATTTTATGATTCTATAAAAAAAAATATTTAACGTTGCATTGAAATAATTACGAAGTTTAACATTCAAAAATATTACAAACTACTAAAAAATATGAGGGCCGCTCAAAATTAGGGCCGGGTGAGTTGTCACCCAGGTACCTCTTTAAATCTGGCACTGGACGGAGGGCAACTGAACGTAGTCGGTCGCTGTTGTCTTATAAAACATTATAATTTAAGTGTAAAAATTAAACAATTAAAACCCGCATAATTTATGTACTTTCCGGTGGCGCAGTCGGGATTATTGAGACTGTAAGGTTCATTTCAATAATGGGTATATACGCGCGTATTATAATATATATTGTATGCATATCTACTGCTGTAGAATTAAAAGTAAAACTATTATTTTCAAAAACAAATCGTGAGAAACTTGATAATAGTGTATTATTTGGAAGGCAAAAACAATAATTGTATCCGGCTTCAATGGAAAACGTAGATTTTAAAATTAAGAGTATTATATTTTCAAAAATTAAAAAAAAATTTTTACCCATATGAATAATGCGTGCACGGATGTAACATATGAATTATATTTAAGTAGCTCGCGGTATTC